CTCGGGCGCCTTTCGGGCTGTGAGGGGCCGAGAGCAAAGGAATGAGGGCCGCACAGAGGACGCCAACGGCAGCGGGCCGGCGCCGGCGCCTTCCCAGGCCGGCTCAACCCTGGGGCCTGCAGCAGGCCAGGCCCTCCCGGCCCCGGCCGCCTCCTCACCTCCCTCACGTCCTGCAAGCACTCGAGCACCGCCAGGTTGTTGCTCCAGGTGTGTTTGGGGCACACACGGGTCACGTCCTCCCGGCAGGACTCTTCCTCGGCCAGCTTCCAGCCGCCGCCGGGCCCCGCTCCGCCCCGCCGGGCCGAAGGCCCACCCGCCGGGAAAGGCTGCGGAGGCTGAGGCGGTTGCTGCTGCTGCTGCTGCTGCTGCTGGAGCTGGAGCTGAGGTGGATGAGGCTGCTGCGGAAGCGCGGGCGCGCCGCCGCCAACCTGCCCTAAGGGCACGAAGTTGGCAGCCGGGCCCGGGCCCTGGCCGTGGCCGCCCTGGCTGGGGGCTTTCTGGGCCCCGGCCGCGGCAAAGAACAGCAGCTGCAGAACCGCCGACAAGCGGAACATCCTCCGTACACGTCCACACGCCGCCATCTTGGGTCCACGGCCACCTCGACGCACCCGCCGGCGCCGCGTATTTAAATGAGAAGGCGGGGCATCCGCCCGTTGGTGGGCGTGGCCCACACGAGCCCCGCCCCAGCTAGCGCTGACCTGGGAGTGGGCAGCTTCAGGAACCGGGTCCACGCCCTGGGCCTCGGCGGGCGGGAAAGCGGTGTGTTTTCCAGGAGGGGGTTGCTGATGCACCGGAAAATGCCTGCGTAGGGCAGCTTGGCTGATTCCCTTGGTTTTCGTCACTGAAAAATTAAAAGGAATTGGGATTATTTTAACCAAGATGGCCGGTTCAGCAAGTTTTATGTACATAAAGGTGAACTTTACACAGGCTGGGGTGTCCTTTCAACGAAGAGCCCCCCTCGAATCTCTCCTCCCTACCGTCTGCCGCAAACGTCTGTCTTACCCAAGGAGCAAGGGATATTGGATAAAGCAGCGCAGGACCTCAAAGACTTGGCTTATAGACTAGTCTATAGTCTATAGACTAGTCTATAACTAGACTAGTTTCTTAACTTCTCTGAACCTCATTTTTCTTATCTGGAAGAAAAAAAAGGCGAGGAGAATCCCTAAAGGTGTTAACTCTTCTTTTTTTAATCATTTTATTAGGAGCTCATACAACTCTTATCACAATCCATACATACATCAATTGTGTCAAACACACCTGTACACATGTTGCCATCATCATTCTCAAAACACCTGCTTTCTACTTGAGCCCTTGGTATCAGCTCTTCATTTTCCCCTCCTTCCCC